TTGCTATTTTTGAGTCCTATAAAAAAGCCAATGATAATCTATTGACGATTTATCGATTCTAATAATTTGGTAATACTGCCTTAATGATTAGAAATGATCAGAAAATGATTAGAAAGCATACATCAGTTTAAGTTTGATTTAAGAATTTAATTTTTTATTTTTTAAAATTAAATATTTAAGAACTAACTTGTTTAGTGTTTTTTCTCAACCAATAATAAGCTTCGCGCATATCGTCTTGTCTTATGTTTCTTCCATCCTGCTGCCCAGTTAAAATAATTGTTGGGTTACTGTACGAAGCAGTGGTAACCCAAGTGCTATGGAAAACGAATCCGAATAAAAGAAAAGCAATGACGCAAACCGTAATTTTTGCAACCTGTATTGCTTATTTAACAATCTGACAGGAATCGAATATTTCCACGGCTTTTTAAAATATTGTTAAATTTTTTTATATGAATACAGAAAAATTTTCAACGATTTCTTGATGTATTTTCTGCATTGCAAAAATTTTTAACTATAAAAATGTTTTATGAACATAAATATGAATTTTCATGCATAAACATTCAGTTACTTTTGCAGATTCTTTTTTTTCAACTAATTACCATTTTTAGTTTGGCTATTTAAAGAGATAAGAGCCATGAAATTAGAAATAGAAACAGGACAGCCCTCAGTACCATTGTACTTCACTTTTAACGGCAGGCATAGTCAAGGGAACTGTCCATTAATTACGTTCCATTCGAAACTCTTCTATTTCTCTCTTCCCTCCTTCAAGACATTGACCTCTATTAATTGCCACCTATTATTCACCAAGTATAATGAAAAAGAACTTGCCGTATTTCTACATGAATAATTTTCTTCAGTCGCTCTGTTTTTTCTACGATATGATTCTTTAAAATGATCAAGATTTTTGATAAAGGTTGTCAGCAGTGACGAAAATGCAATCGCGCAGAGCATGCAACTTGCTGGTGTTAAAATCAGTATAAGCCTTACCATGACAGCCTGCAAAATGCTTTGGCATAATATTATTTCTAAGGCTTTATCAAATTTCATTTCTTATTCGGCTAGCATAAGCACTTTTTCTAATTTTTCGTATGCTTTTGTTGGTTATGGTTGATATTCGACTAGAGTACAAGCAATAAGCAGTAAGCAATCTTAAAGTTCCGTCAGTGTCTGTCCTAAGAAGATAAATTAAGTTGAAAGGAGAAAAAATCAGTTTTACCGAAAAATAAAGGCTTGTTAAAAAGAATAATATTAAAAACAAATTTGCGGCATTCATATTCTTGAAGCAATAATATAAACCAGCTGAAATTTAAACGTTCATAGTAACATGTGTGATCCCTAAAAATCGCTTTTTTTCGCAATATATAGGCAGTTTTATCAACAAAAAAATTTGTTAGAGTCCTTAAATAAATAATTTCACCTTTTGAATACTCTTAAAGGCTACTTCGAATATAATATAATTTACTTTTCTTCCTAAACGCTAAAATGGCAGCGCTGAAACGCTGGAACAATACAAATTAGAAAAATCTACCTGGTATAGCTATTAGAATCATTTGAAAGTTAGAATAAAAAAAGCTCCAAGCGGTTGGATGGTGCTCACCGACGCAAGCAATGAGTGGATTGCTCTTCGAAGCATAAGATGGATCGAGAAAAGCATAAAATCGACCAGACCAAGGCGCTATCCCTAAAAATTTCTTCAAATTTTAATTTTTGAAAAATTTTGATCATGCAATCTCTAATTTTAAGCCATGATCTCCAATGCAAAAGGATTGGAACCGTAAGTCTTTGAATTATTTCAAAGGATTAGAGAAACGCCAATTTACTTAAGTCTTAATGAACGGAATGTTCGATCAGCTTATGTGTCAGGATTGTACATATATATGCATAAACTTCCAGAAAAAAACTAACTTTCCAGCGATATCAAAGCAAATAAGGTGAACACACCGATGCCGATAAGGTTAATAATGCATTCATATCGATATTTGTTATAAATATTGTCCGGTAAGGATGAACGTAGCCAAAGGTCTATTCCCATTATCTGGCACAAACCGAATACTCCTAGTGCCTTAAAATATCAGTAATTAACATTTTGTTAATTTCCTTATCATACTTGTGGATAATGGAGTAGAATGCTCAATGGATTGCTGCTCAAT